CCTGGATCCCAAACCTCCCTGGATCCCAAACCTCCCCGGATCCCAAACCTCCCCGGATCCCAAACCTCCCTGAGCCCAAACCTCCCTGGAGCCCAGGAGTTATTTCCACGTTTCCCTTACAACACAGGACTTGTAATTTCCCACAGTCCAGCCCCAAAACTTCATTGTCTCAGTAAATCTCAGCTGAGCAGCAGCTTTTAAATGGATGCAGCCAAGAGGCACTGCGAGGAACGAGCAGGTTTATTCAGGGATACATCAATAGATATCCCCTGCTCATTAGGGATAATGACCACTATACACAAACCCAGGGTCAAGGAGAAAGTCTGAGCACCTGAAAACTGATTTTTTTTTTAATAGAAAACAAGACTTTGCTCAGAATACAGCTCAGAAAAAAACCCCAACCAATTGTGTGTTACAATTAAAGGCAAAGCCATTTTGCATATTCATCAATGACCTGAGGCTCCTTTGAGGCTCCTGGATGCCTTTGGGTTGGAAGCACTGATCCAGCGGCTCCATTAAGTCCTGGGGCAACCAGATTTGCACCCAGTGATGAAACAACTGCAGCGCATAAATAAATAATCTACATTAGTTAAGATAATGCACCAATTTCAAACCAGCTGAGGAGCTGCTGAAGGAGTCAGGCAGCGGTTGGAGGTCGGGGATTCATTAAAACAGAATTCCAATATTCCACCACACCTGGGACAGGTTTCAATCTGGTTGCCACCCCAATTTCTAACCTGAACTGGAGCTTCTCTGCTTCCTCTTGACTCATTTCTAGTACAGATAAAACCTATGTGAGCTCAACCCTTCCAAAAAACCCCGGTGTAATTATCAGTTAAACACTTTCATCCTTAATAAATCACATTACGTGGCTATGGGAGAATTAGAACCGTGGTAAACGGGCACGTGTTCATTTTCAAAGGGTGGCAAGAAAAGTGATGCCTAAAATGACATGGGGGGGATTTTTGGGGTGTCCTGGGCAGGAGCAGGAGTTGGACTCGATGATC